ATCACCTGCTGTGCCTTCAACTCCGATCTCATCTGGTCTGGAGCACCGCCGCAGCGCCGGGGCAAATGCAGCAACTTACTGGACCTTCGGGCTCTACTCTGCCAGGCTAGATACGCGACCTGGATTGTGTCCCATCGCAGGCGGACTGGTCAGCGAGAGCGCGGCCGAGATACTTTGGACGCTCTTCATGAACCATCTGAACTCGCCGATCACGCTTCTGGATCCGAATCTCGCCACCTTCGCTTATGCTCGTTCCCACTCTGCCTTGCTGCTCACTGCGGCATGCGCTCTTGCGGCACGCTTCGCCCTTGAACTTCCGGATGCTGCAGGGATTGCTAGTCGTCTTGATAGCCACATACAGACGACGATATTGCCTGCCGTGCTCATGGAAGGTTTCAGAAGCCCTGAGATCGCGCAAGCGCTGATTATCATGGCTGCTTACCATAATCCGACAAAGACGCTGGCCGATGATCGTTCTTGGTCTTTACTAGGGTGGGTGACAGGCAATCGTGGATGCGGTAGTCGTGCGCGAGCCTCAGCTGACCTGCCGAGTCTCCACACTCCTACAGCTACGGCCAACGAATTGCGTCTGAGCTCGACATGAATTCATCTATTTTGAGCGCCAAGGTCGGCCGCCAGAATGGTGCTTCTCCAGAGGGCGACGACCACAGCGGCTCTGCGGAGCTTGACGAGGGCTTTCAACGCCGGTTGCGCAGCCGAGAAAGGTGTGTAGCTCGAGCCGCGAAGCACGTTGACACCTTTAAGCTCACAGGTCTATCCCCTTTGGATATCAGAACTTGGATGAATCTCTTCCTCTTCGAGCAATCGCTATCGACGCACATGGGTCGCCGGTCCACTCTAGTTGTCGACCCCGTCGTCCGCGAGAGCGCCGCCGGCTGGCACAGAGCACCATTCGCTATCGCAGATGACGAAGCCGTCGTGGCCGTTCTGCAACTCCGGCTCTGTGTGCGCAAGCATCTTGAATTTTTCGACCGTTCTGTCGCAGGTGGTGGAGCGGAGCACGCAGCGCTGCAGCTGGAGTTTTTCCGCCAAAGTGCCAAAGCCGACGTGGACGCCTGGAGAGCAACGTGGTGCGAACAGAGAAGTGGAACGTACAGGATGCGCAATGGACGCCTCTACGCCAACTATGCGCTCATTATTCTCTATTCTTTCGCGTTGAGGAGCACTCATGTCCCTACAGAAAGTCTGGCACCAATCTACCGCGACTCTTTCGAGGCCTCTCTCACATATCTGACCTTGTTCCTCGACATTTTTACACCTCAAAAGCTCATCTATTCCAACAATAGCTCGACGGTCACCGTTGCGTACGTCAGTGTCTTCGCCCTCAAGCTCACAGCGCTGGACCCCGACAAGCAGCGCTTTGCCTACATTAACGCCGACCAGACTTTCTCCCTGGTCGGTCGCGTCGCTAGCGCGCTCGCTGCTGCCGGATCGGTCACACCATGGCGCGAAGGCTGCGCCGGCTCTTATGCGCCGTACCTCTCTGCCGTGCTCGCCCGCGCCCGCCGCGCCTACAGGAAACGGCAGCAGGAAGGCGGAACGCAAGTTAATGGTCAGCATGATTTGGTGGCCAGTTCGGGCAACCCGCAGGCTGGCGGACGAGATACCAATTCCGACTCACACGTACAAGGTGACGGTTGTCAGAAGCGAGCTCGAGCATCGGGCGAGTACAGTGTTGTCGGAGATGTCAGTCCGTCGCACAGCTCTCCCGACGCTTTCGCGTTTCATGCGGGACCCTCTGGCGTCCAATCGTCTGCTCACAATGTCGGCACGCTCGAGAATGGCAACCAGCCTTGGGATGCCCAGAATCATGACATGGTCAGCCACCTTTTGGAGTCCAGCTTGTTCACGGACATGTCCTTCGTTAATACTGGAGCAGGTTGGGAAGGCGCTTTTGAATGGCCTGTTGGTGTCTGAAGGCGTGGCCATCGTATTCAAAACCATTCTCATTGCTCGCTTGGCCGCCACGAAAGTCGGCTGGCGTACAGCTCATACGCCGTTCGTTGCCCCTTGCCACCCGCATTTTCGCTCTGCATGCTGTGTCACCTTCACCTGTGTCATCTTTACTCTCTCGCTCACTGTAAGACTAGACACTTTGTCGAAATTCCATACATTCATCGCAATATTTGGGGAATTGCACGACGGCATCGTACGCTGTTGTCGCTCGCGACAAGCATAGCGTGGCAGCGGGCAAAAGACCTACAGCACCCAGGATTCAAAGTGGTCCCCCACCTTGCTACTAGCTGGGCTCTACCGATGTTGACTTGAGGGAGCGGACGAGACCTCGTCTTGTACCGGTGATATGGCCGTAGATGGTTGCCAATTCGCATTGAACCAATATATCCCGCAAGAACACGCACGCTTTGGAATTGATGTTCAGCTGGAATTGCCGCGCGCGCTCTTGCAAAAGCTTGCGCTTCAAACAACGACCATGCACTCACTCACGACCTAACGCCTCCACCCGTCCGTCCATCGAAGTTTGGTGCACCGAGCGAAGCGAGCTGCACGGGACAGTGTGTACGTTAGAGTATATATATGTGTAAACAGATGTCTACGGCTGTTTGGTCGGTAACCCGCACATGATAGATGGATAGGTGAGGAAAGGGTTCGACTCGCAGTAGCGCAGTCGAAGGTAGGATCGGACTTAAGATTAGAGCATAAGTGATGTATTCGTGAGAGATCTGGTCTCTTGTACCTGGGGTTTTTATAGGCGCTCGGCGCCTATAAGCATGTATCATAGTTGTGCCATACATCAAGAGTGACTTAGGGATATTTGGGGATTGTACGTGTAAGAGGGGAACGTTGGCGCGTACGATTGAAGCCACAATGAACGGGAGTGGCTTCGTAAGTCCATTAGGTTTGGGAAGCAGGCCTCGACCCAAGGTGGCGTCGAGGTGGCTTATGTGGCTTGATTGGTGGCGCTA